CCTGCTGATCTGACAAAGGTCACAAACTGTCTACCTAGGGCCACATCTGACTCACATATAATAACATTAGCGCTTAAACGCAGACTTTCAGATAAACATGCTGTTCACAAACAATGTATCCGACCTCAAATTGTAAATGCAGCTATTCAGTTTTTAAAGAACCATTCACCATTTTACTCAGATGTCATTATAAACGGAGAATGGACTGATAATAGTTCTTCACAAAATCCTGAATTATGGACAAAGATCACACCAACAGATGATGTCACAGAGGACACTTACCAAGGGATAGATGATCTGGGTACTACTCAAATTCCCAATCAGATCACAGATGATGAAGTAATTACTGATAGTGAAGATGAGATTGATGCACATTCACCATGGGAGGTCAATGAACATATGCAACAAAAAGCAGCATTGAACTCTGTCACATGTTTTCAGCCAGTTGATGGACCACAAGTTGGAACAAATGATGTTTTGAATCTTGCTCCAGCAGAAGGCCAGGTACCTACATCTGATTTTAAGGAGCCAAGCTGGGAGGCATTAGCTTTTCCACATTTATTCCCTACTGGAAAAAACATCCTAAACGTTAACAGAAAAGTGAAGCTCTCATTAAAGAAATATGCAAATGTTCGACTTTTGAGTAAAGACACAAGATTTGCAGAGAGTCCTGAATATATTTTCCAAATCCTAGATTTACTTGAGAAAACCAATGTTCAGAATACTATATCAATTACAACAAGAAAGTCTTATTTTGAAGATATTTCTGTAGGGCACTTAAAAGACCCAACAAGATTTCATAGGCTCTTGAAACAAGATCAGTTATATGCAACCTTTAAAAATGTTCGTGGTACACCACAGTACTGGCAACAAATGCAGATGGATATGTTGGCAAAACTGAGACAGTTAGGACCATACACATTTTTTCTTACTGGATCAGCAGCAGAATTTCACTGGCCAGAAGTAATACAAGTTGTAGCCAGACAATATGGAACACACCTAACCAAAGAAGATATTGATCTAATGAACTGGACAACCAAACGCCAATGGCTTCAGAGAAATCCAGTTACTGTGGCCAAACATATAGATTACATGTTTGAACAGCTATGGTCAAAAGTGATTCTGAGTGGAGCACACCCAATTGGCCAGATTCTTAATTATGATCGAAGGAAGGAAATGCAGGGACGAGGAACTGAACACTTTCATTCAGCCATACATGTAAAAGATGCACCTATAGTAGATGTTGATACAGATTCTGACTGTATTGCATTTGTAAACAAGCATATTTCCTGTCAAATTCCAACTACACATGATGATGAATTAAAACAACTTGTAATATCAAGACAAACTCATCATCATACAAGGACATGCAAGAAGAAAAACACCCATTGCAGATTTGGATATCCACGACCCCCTTCACCCTCAACACTTATTACAAGAAAACCAAATACAGAAGAAAACAAGAAAAAGGCACAAAATGTTCTAGGCAAGGTTTATAAAGTTTTAAATGAAAATGCAGCTGTGGGAAATTTGACTCTTGAACAAGTACTTGATTTGGCAGGAGTCACAGAGGAAGACTACATGGCTGCACTTCTCACAGCACAAAGGCGTACCTCAATAATTATGAAGAGAAATGTCAATGAAATCTTTATTAATAACTATAATCCTCACATTCTGAAAGCACTTAAATCTAACATGGACATACAATTCATAACTGACATTTGGGCATGCATTGCCTACCTCACATCATATATGTGCAAACCTGAAAGAAATATGAGCGAACTTATGAGAAAGGCATGCAAAGAAGCAACACAAAAAAATATTCGTCAAGCTCTGAAAGACGTTGGTGATGTTTTTCGGAAGTGCAGAGAAATTTCAGAACATGAAGCTATTTCCCGGATTTTATCATTGCCTCTTAGAAGATCAAATATTGATGTCATATTCATACAGACAGATTTGAAAGAAAATCGTACTAGAATGCTTAAACCGAAGTATATTTTAGACCAAATGGAAGATGATGATACTGACATTTATCTTCCAACAACACATGACAAATATGCTAAACGACCAGATTCATTGGAAACATTGTCTTTTGCTGAGTTTTGTGCATGCTACAACACTTCATCAGCATCAAGTCAGACAGAAACAGACAGCGATATTGATGATCATGACATTTCAAGTTCTAATACACCATGTAGTAGAACCAAATATCACTTAAAGGATGGGATGGGTATTATTACGAAACGTGCTCACCCACGGGTTATTCGATATCACTATGTTTCAAAAGAGAAAGATGAAGAGATGTATTACCATAGACTTCTTATACTCTACTCACCATGGCGATCAGAATGTGAACTTAAAGAAACTTCATTCAAAGATCATTTCTTTAAGGTGAAAGATCATATTCTCCCAACAATTAAACGTTTTGAACCATTCTATGAAGAAGTGGAACATATCTTGGATACATTTGACCCTGATGAAACTGCACCAGATATGTGGAATGAAATGGCTGCACAAATAGAACAAGAACTTAGTGATACAGCAAATGAAGATGTACAATATGAATATCCCCATCTAGATCCAGATCTCTTACCACATGACAATAATACCAGTACACCAAAGACTCAACCTCTGTCCTTCACAATTTCAAAAACCCATATTGCTTCTGACCCCCAGTTTTACAACATGGTTCAATCCCTGAATGAGAAGCAAAGATACCTCTTTGACTTTATGTTTAACTGGGCAACACAAACAAGACTTAAAAGTATCTCTAATGAAACAATCAAACCTTTCTATATCTTCCTTAGTGGTGGTGGAGGAGTCGGAAAAACACACACTGTTAATACCATATACGAAGGACTTGTTAGAGCACTACGTGAACCAGGACACGATCCTGAAAAACCAACTGTTCTCATGACTGCATCCACAGGTAAAGCTGCCTCAAATATCAATGGTACAACACTTCATTCTGCATTCTCATTACCAGTTCGTGAGAAGTCAAAGTCATTTCAGTACAAGAAAATAAGTGCTGAGAAACTCAATACTCTCCGATGTAAGTATCAAAATTTGAAAGTCATCATTGCTGATGAAATTTCCATGTTTGGGGGAACTTCTTTGCAACATTTAGATCTTGCACTGCAAAGCATATTCCAGAATCCGCAGTCAAGTGTACCTTTTGGAGGTATTTCTATTTTAGCTGTGGGTGATCTCATGCAGCTTAATCCTGTTGGAGACTGCCCTGTGTTCAGACATCCATCAAAAAGTTCCTACGCTGCTTTAGCAGGATCACTTTGGCAAGACTTGTTTCAGTTCCATGAACTCACAGAAATAGTTAGGCAGAAAGGTGACCCTCTCTTTGCAGAAATATTATCCAGAGTTCGTACAGGACATACTACAGCAGAAGATATACAGTCCCTACAGGAATTGGAAAAAACAGACTCTTCACAATTTCCGCCAGATGCTGTTCATTTATTTATGACCAATGAACAAGTTTCAAAATATAATGATGAGAAATTAAACTTCCTTCCTCTGCCACACATTACAGTGACTGCAAAAGACTCTAAACGTGATTTACACACCAATACACAAGAAGTAGTTGTGATGTCAAACAATATTTATCAGACAGGAGGCTTACCTTCCTCTCTCACATTTGCCAAAGGAGCACGCTTAATGCTTACTAAAAATTATGACACTGCTGATCACCTTGTAAATGGCGTAATTGGAAGAGTTGCAGAATTTCACATACCAGAAAATAATCCATTAAGTGGAAAAATTTATTTAGAATTTGACAATTGTGTTGTTGGTCAGTCCAAAAAAAAAAATTCACCACTGCACTTGAGACATACAGTCCCAATTGAAGCAATAACTGTGAGGTTTCTTCTAGGATCACATTGCCCAGTACCAGTTGAAAGACAAATGTTTCCCTTAGTGTTGGCTTATGGACTCACTGCACACAAGTCACAAGGTAGTACTTACCAGTATATGGTTGCAGACTTCACAAAACCTAAGAAATTATCACCTCCCCAAGGTTTAGCATACACAATGCTGAGCAGAGCAACTTCACGAAAGGGAATTAAAATTGTTAACTTCTCTAGTGCAGATATAAAAGTTAATCAACATGCAGCTGATGAAATGGAAAGAATGAGAATAGAGTCCTCTCTTACATGGAAACACCCAATTACTGAGCTCCCTCCTTTGCATACAAGTATTGGACACTTAAACATAAGATCACTTGTAAAACACTCTGCAGATTTAAGAAGAGATCAAGCAATTTACAAACTTCAGGTTCTTTGCATGTCAGAGACCCATATTTCAAAGGTGGAAAACTGTTGTGCAATTAAAGGCTATAAACTTTTTATCAAGGACACAAAACACGGACTGGGAATTTACATTTCAGAGAACATCACAGATGTAAATTTTCATGACGTTCCAAGCACAGACAGTTGTCAAGCTCTTGCTATTGATATGTCTACCAAGGGAATTTCTATTACTATTGTAGCTGTATATCATCCCCCATCAGAACTGTATTCACAATTCCAGCATGATTTTTCTGCTCTGCTTCAGTGCATTCAACCAGCAACTCAAAATGTACTACTACTAGGAGATTTCAACATTGATGCAAATACACCATCCTTCCAAGCTCTTTTAAGACAACACAACCTTCTTAATATCATGAAACAACCAACTCATTTTCATGGCAGGACCCTGGATTTAATTATAACTTCAAATCCTCAACTTCCATCAAACTCATTTCCAGTACCATATTCAGATCATCACCTCATATGGACTGCCTTATATTGACCTTTCATCTCCATGGTAAACTACTTTCTTTATTTCTATTAGAAATACAATTTTTAAAAAAAATGTCTATATCATTTCACTTAATATAATAATACTTTAAAAATATTCCTTTACAAAATCCATGATAACACAGAGTCAAATAAATTTAAATTGCTCTTTATTAAATTTTGCAGGAATTGAAGAATATAAACAAATGTTTGAAACGATTTTATTTGGTGTTCCCTCACTATGGTCTGGAGAAAGGACTGATGGATATGACTTTCAATGAGTGTCTGTGATGCTGCAGCTGGAAACGGTACTTACATTACACAACTTAGAATTACTGTAAAATCACATACTTATAAGGTGTGGATCAAATTCCATGATAAACAAATGGTCTTGGTTCATGGACATTAAATTTCATGGTCAATACAATGCTATTTTCATTTTGTTGTATACTTTGAAATTTTACATTTTTGGGGAAGATGAATCCTTGAGTCTCCTCATACCATGAAAAACAACAAAAAAATAATCCTCCACAAAATAAGTGTTTCACAATATGTACTATATGAATCTAAATGACATGTATTCCATCTATGAATGTTTTGCAGAAATATGCACTAACTTTTCTCTCATTTCAGGTTAATCAATAGTCAGAAGTCCATTTGAGTTTGACGTAGTAGGAGGAAATCTGTTGTCCATGACATTTTTAATTGCAGTTGTCACCCCCTACTGAGTGAGTACAATTTCTATGTAAAACCATGGTGAGATGACCACTGATTACTTCATGTAAAAATACATGTACATTGCTGAAAATGAAAGTATTTTTGTAGCACAGGATGTGTCTCTGGTCATTGACACCTACCTACAAGCATATAAGTAATGACTACAAGAATGTAGCAGCAGAGAGGAAGAGGATTAATTTGGAAGAAGCAAAGGATGACACTTTCACACTCAAGATTTTCACTAAGGTACCTCTGTGTATAAATACCAGACAACTTTGCCTAACTTGTGAAACACCCTTTATGTATACTGTAAATTTATTATATTTAGCGTGTACAATATGTCGGTCAAAAGCTCTACAGAGCTTATGTTTCTGTTATAATAATCCGACTCAAAATAAAATTTTCTGATTCTGATATTTGGCGGAAATTGATTTTTGAATAAGTTAGCGTAGATTTGATATAGCAGATTTCTTCATTTTCTTCTTTATGTGTATATGTGCAAGACATTTAGCGTTGTACTTGATTTAGCGGTTGCTGTGTTCCAGTATACATGTATCTTAAGCTTGTAACTGAACCCAATTGAATTAAATCAAGATTATTTATTGAATATTTTAAAATTTTCTGTTACAATGCAATTCAAGTGCATGCAGTTACACTAAATATGTTTAGTAAATACGAATAGGTTGAATGCTTCCATGTAATGTTATTGTTATTTTTATCTCATTCTTACAAATAACATTCTGATTGTGTTCATGATCATCTTCTTGCCAAAAACTAACAACATTATATTTTTCCTATAAAATGTTTGAGAAATAAGATATTAAAATATCCCTTAAGAACCCCTTATACAGGAATCACATGATATGACCGAGCACTTATACCGTACATTTACTGGTAATAAAGACATTTCTTTAAATGTCATCCATGACAATTTGTCTCTGCTAATCTTTACTTTATTCAGATGAAAAATTTCATCTACTCTTTTGCAGCATTTTCACAGACATGGTAAAAGTTGATCAAGTTACGGGGCACTGTCCTCAGTTTGATGCCTTTGACTCCCTCTTGATAGTGAAGGAAATCCTGAAAATTTGTGCCACACTGCCTGGAGTGCAGGGGAAGGATGTCAACAGGGTACACAAAAAACACAATCTAATAATGCTGAATATAAGAATACAAGACTTTTAGTGAAAACATTAAAAGTTACTACAAATTATGGTTAAACCTATGGGGAAAAAATTCCAGAAATGTACATTACTTTACTATACAATAATATAAATAATTTAGTATGGCATTGTTATAAGTTAAAACAAATGTTTCATAGGTGTCTGACTAGAACATGAAGAAACTATGACTGTTGCCTTATGCTGACAAACTGTGTGGATGTTACTCTGGTGAAGAACACAGAAAGCTATCCATTGCTATCTCTTACTCATAGGGAATCCACAGATCATATTCCTGGTAAGTGCAATCAGTATCTACCACTACAAAAATTCAGTATTGTGTAATCTGTCTGTCTTCTGAAATATCTTTTAACACAAAAATAATACATTTATAGATGTATCCTATTAACGAAAAAATGCCTTTATTTCACCTCATTAACAATTTCTTTCTGTCCCATTAAGGATGAGCCCACTACTGTAATGGAGTTCAAGGCTCAGAGATTCTTATGGAGTTTTACATGTATTAACAATTTTATCAAGGATGGATGTTCAGGTACATTTACCTCTCATAAGTAAAATATGCCTATATACAGTTCTTCTCTACAGGGAGAGAGATCCATCTGCACGAACTTCTGCCCAATCTACAACACTAAACACCTCCAGATCTCCTCAAACTGTTACTGTGACACTAATTTCCAAAAAATGTCCTCCAGGTAATACATGTATACAGATATTCAACTTTAACTTTTTAAAATATTTTCATTTTCAGGCCTCTTTTAAATACTACTGAATATGTATTTTTATGATACCATTTCAAAACATTTCTTTTCCATACTTGTATTACATTGTCAAATGTTATTGAATTATAGTACATTAAAAATGGAAAATCCAAATGGAATTTTTTGTCATCATTTAAAAAAAATAAAAAGAGCAAGAGACATGGAAAACGTGATTATTCATAGATCATTGTCACTCACAGTGATAGACTAAACTATATAACCACCCTCTTCAAAGTATTAACAAGATGTGTTTGTGAAACACTATGCACCCAGCGGCAACAAAGTTTAAAAAACCCATATTTTTAGCATATAGGTCACAGTCAAGGTCATTGCTCTTGGTGTCATTTAAAAGAACTTGAATAGTAGAGAATGCATATTAAATATAAAGTATCTTATCTCTTGTGGTTCAAAAGTAATGGTGAAGGTTCAAAAACCTATTTTTAGCATATAGGACACAGTCAAGGTCACAAAATCATTGATCTTGATGTCATGTGAAAGGGCTTAATTAGCATGATTAGTGGAGTATGCATGCCAAATATTAAGTCTCTATCTTCCTTCGTTCAAAAGTTATCATATTGCAGGTTTTCATGGCGGATGTAAAATTCCGCAATTTGCCAGCTCAAAGATATGTCAATAATTTTGGTGTAATTTATTTTAGCGGACACAGAGTTTCAGCCATTTGTAGAATAACACTAAAAAGAGTACTGGCTATTTTAGCGATTAAAATTTTAGCGGGCTACCATCAAAATTCCAAAATAAGCTAAAATTAGCACCCTGATACACGGTATGGTCAAGGTTAAAGTTTGCCTACAAAAAAGCTATATTTAGCGTATAGATCCCAGTCAACGTCACAAGGTCATTGACCATGGTGTCATTTAAAAGAACTTAATCAGTGGTGTATGCATACCAAATGTGAAGTCTCTTTTATTGTTTAAAAGTTTTGGTAAAGGTTAAAATTTGCAGAAAAAATCTTTATTATACAGGTCACAGTCAAAGTCACAAGGTCATTGATCTTGGTGTCATTTGAAACAGCTTTATTAGTTGAGTATGCGTGCCAAATATAAAGTCTCTATCTTTCTTCGTTCAAAAGTTATGGCAGAATTAAAGTTTGCAGAAAAACAAATAAACAGACAAGACAAAAACAATATACATACCTCGGATCTTTCCATTCGGGCCCATAAAAAACAATTTCTCTTCTGGATATCTGCACCAGCAGCTAGTATTAAAATGTTTAACAAGAACATTCCAATATATGTCATCATTGGTGTTGTCGTAAACTATTCACATTTTAATCTTCTTCTAAACAATCCCTCGGTCAATTTCAACCAAACCTGCTACAAATTTTCCTTTCTTGAAGGGGATTCAAGTTAGTTCAAATGAAGGGTCACACCCTCTTCCAAGGGAGATAATGTTGAATTAATGATAAATTAATTACATCCACTGAATATTTCTTCCTTTATTTTTTGTGAAGACCATTACCATTAATCAGTGCATAAACCACACTAAGCAAGCCACATGCAGATATTTCTTGAACAATGGCTGTTCCATCAGTTATGCATACCATGATATATTCATTAATTCTAAAGCATTCTTAGGAATTGTATATTTCAGTTCATTTAAATCCCCCCTCCCAGAACCCACTTTTATAATACATTAAAACTTTTCAATACTAAACTGATTTCTGCTTTTGCCTATCCGATTCCTCAGGTGAGCGATGTGGCCCATGGGCCTCTTATTAGTCTTATTACACAGTATTACATCTATAAAAACTATTTTATAAAGGCTAAATTAGATACCATGTATTGTGTACAATTTTGACAATATCAAACGTGAATATAATTAACAAAACAAGCAACTGGCCATGTAGTGTAGCGGCGTGAACCTCGCTATATACATGTGAGAGGCCCCGAGTTTGATTTCCGTTGCACGATCCATTTCATTTTAAATACTTTTCTTTTTAATTTACTAATTAAATTATAGTATTCAGCATGTCAAATGAAAAACTTATGACATCTGTCTCCTACACACTCATAAAATCATCATACAATGTCGCAAATATTCTACATTTAAAAATTCCTCTATACACATTGTAATTAAAAGAATAGACAATCGAATCTTTATATCAATGTAAGCATTTTTTATTTCCTTCAATATGCATGTACCCTGACTTTTTCAACAATTAATTTCTTTTCAAAATATAGTTTTTTATTTTAATGTTTGCCTCTATATTTGGGCTAGTAACTTTTCACTTGGGGCTAGTAACTTTATAGCTACCACTAGCCCGTGGGCTAGTTATTGATTTTTCTAATTGCACACCCCTGCATTAAACTTCACCATAACTTTTGAACCATGAAAGATAGAGACTTCATATTTAGTATGCATACACCACTAATTCAGCTCTTTCAATTGACAACAAGATCAATGACCTTGTGACCTTGACTGTGACCTGTATGCTAAAAATAGATTTTTCGTACCTTTGCCATAACTTTTGAACCACAAGAGATAGAGACTTCATATTTGGTATCCATGCTGTACTTTATTAATCAAGTTCTTTCAAACGACACCAAGGTCAATGGCCTTGTGACTTTGACTGTGACATATAAGCTAAAAATAGCTTTTTTAAAAAAAAAATGTTGCCGCCGGGCGCATAGTGTCACGAACACATCTTGTTTATTTCATAAAATGTCATCAATGAATTATTCCATCAAATCTTGATTCAAGTGATATAAACGAAATAAACTCTGGTCATTGATTAAAAAACAAAATGTGAACATTCTTTCCGTTCATGTCCGATCTCACTCTTTGTTGAAAGTTCTAGAAAGTCGGGTGTCCGATATCAAAAAGAAAATCGAGGCGATTATTTATCATAAATGGAATGGGCTTGGAAATCAAATGTACATGTAAAGCAATTGGTAACACAATGAGTTTGTGAATATATCTTATAAGTTGTGCTAATGTTTTATAAATAAATGTCGATTGATGACCATTGTTATTTGTTTAGCCATATAAAATGGTACAATTTGATTTTAAAATATTTTACTTAAATGATTTTAAAAATACATATCAATGGGTTTCTTACAGACAGCCTTTCATTTTTAAAACTGATTTATACCTTTTTAGGTCTGTATGTACATTTGGGTTGAAAACTAAGCTTTTTTTCAATATTTTAATAGCCATTCTCTGTAACCACTTCAACTTCGTTGCCACGCATGGTCACCGATTTTGATGAAACTTCACCTATGCTTAGTACTTGACACCAGAAACAAATATCAAACAAAATTTCGTTGCTAAGTGTCTTGGTTGCTATGGCAACAGCCGGAAAAGTTTGAAAAATCGAGATTTTCAGCCATTTTAAATCTTGGCTGTGGCTTAATAAAAACTAGAAAAAGCAAACAAACCATTCTCACAAAAACATGACACCTTGATGTCACTTATACTGTAAAGAAACTGTTTAGAATATATCTCTAAATAAGTGGTAACCAAGGGTACATTTGGAATACATTTAAATTGCTGAAATATGCTGAAAAATACTCCGTATTCACTAATGGTAGGTGTTACATGCTCAAACTCAATCAGCGACTTAAGAAAAACAATGAAAATGTTTGACCTTAAGTATATAAGTATAAGCAATATTTTTCTATAAATAATTTTCATGGTTGCCATGGTAACACAGTGTAACCATGCAAAACCAGTAACTAAAATTGGGTTAATGCTACTGTCTTGAGGAAAAACTTGAAAATTCAAGACTGGCAAATATGCATCCTTAGGACCCTGCAACACCAAAACCATAAGAAAAATTGGGTATAATTGCTACTTTGCAGTGTTACCATGGAAACAAAGTACCAGTGCTTAAAAGTGAATTATTTTTCGCTGCATTAAGAATTAAATTGCCATATAATCAAGAAACAAATTAAAGGACTCAGCTTGAATAATACTTATCTGTTAGAACTGAAGTTGAATATCATATATTGATAAAATTTGATGAAGAAAACAACACTGTTGCTATGGTTACCAAGAAGGGAAAATGTTCGATTTTGTGAACTTTATATCAATATCAAACCCTGTGTGCCAACTTCTTGCATCCACTTCGAGATTGGATGATAGTCAAAATTAAAAGTCAGGTTAGCTGTTAATAAATATCAATCATAAAAGTTTTGGGAATCTACATTTAAGGGTACGTATCCAAGGAAAGAAAATATTTTTCAGGTTTTTAAGCATATATTTTCTGCTTATTTCCATAGCAACGCTCTATTTAAAGAATCTAATCTGAATTTTTTCAAATGGGAAAACTTGGAACACACCAACATCTTTAAAAATTGATGATTAGTTATGAGGAAATGTGCTTTTTTAAAAAGATAGGATCAGATTTAAAAATACAGAGTGTTACTTTGAAGGCTCTCTGTGGTATAAAAACCTTGGCAACCATTTCGAACCAAAATGAAATATCATATTTTGTTCTTGGTATATGTTTCAAGGCTCTTTTTTCTATTATTTGGTCACATTTCATCCTATAATTGCTTTTTATTTTTACGTGTATGACTTTATAAAATTCAATGAATATTTTTTTTTACTTTTGAATACTTTGTTACCATAGTAACGTATGTAATAGTTGATTTACCAAACATGTTTATCATGCATTTGAGACTTGTGACCTTCAACGTTTGGAAACAGTCATTGCCAATTGTTTGCTTTGCCGCAAATGTTAACTATAGGGCTCTAAACATGTTAAAAAATGCCATTTTTCGAACTTTAAGACACGTTGCCATGGTAACTATAAAACATAGCAACCAATTTTTGCCTGATTACAGTTTAGGGTATCAATGACTTTTATCAGAGAGAGTTTGGAGAAATTCTGAGACTATTCGTGCCACAGCTCCTATATAAAATTTCAAGTCATTACAGAGAATGGCTCTTAAGATGCTGATAGTTAAATGTGCACGCTTATTATCTTATCCTTGATGTAAATGGAAACAGA